TTATAATGAAGCAATGAACTAGAAAGTCAGTCTGTTCCCAAGGAAAGTAGGGATCTCTGTCTTGGACTAAGTCAACACAGAGTAATAAAGGCTGATAAGCATGGGTGGTCTGAGCTTTCCTTTAAAACGTAGTCACTAAATGTTCTTGTTTATGATGCTGGAAAGAGTCTATTCAATAAACTGTCAAGAAGAGAAATTTGTAGGTAATGAAAAATGACAACCAGAATTATCCCATAATCTCCTGTCTGTGATACAGCTTTGCAAGTAAGTAATCCATCACTCATCTAGAATTTGCTAGTCTTCCAAAGCAAAAAAATTCAAACTAAAATAGATAATAGAAATGCATTTTAATGCAGAACATCTGAAGGAAAAGATTAATGAGGAGCTACTCATGTGACTGCAATGACAGCCGTGTTGATTAAAGAGGAATTTTCTCCTAAAAAAATCTTAAAATGCTTTTATTGAGCTAAATAGACAGAACAACCCTAAACTTTTTGTCCTGATGAGCTTTAACTGGACACAACCCAATGTCACTTGAGAAGAGAGTCTGAGTTGAGGGATTTCCCAGATCAGAGTGGCCTGTGAGCATGTCTGTGAGCAATTGTCTTGACTGTTCATTGCTGTGAGAGGAACCAGCCCACTGTGGGGCGCACCATTCCCTGGGCAGGTGTGTCTAGGCTGTATAAGAAAGCTAACTAAGCATGAGCCTTGCATTAGTCCCCCTCCATGGTTTCAAGTTCCTTCTTGAGTTCCTGCCCCGACTTCCCTCAGTGATGAACTGTGACCTGGAACTTTAACCCAAATAAACTCTCCCCCCTCCAAGTTGTTTTATCACTGCAAAGAAGCTAGAACCCTTTTCACTAAGCTGAAAAGAAAGACGAAGTTAGAGCTAGCCACTGTTTTTTTGTAGTGACTAGACAGTACTTGAGTTCTCTCCAGTGATCCCTAACCCCCCACTTCCCTTCAGAAGAAACAGAACAAGGGCACACTGGCTTTTGGGTGTCTTACCTGGTATTCTCCTATGAATGAGTCTTTTTTTCTAGTATTCTATTCTGAAACTCAAGTTGACATGCGTTTTCTGAGCCAGAGAGAAAAGAAATCAAGAAAAATCTTAAAGCACTACTATTCCTACATCTGGGTGAATATGTTGAAGCAGAATAAAAATAATAACTTTAATAACTTTCAGTGATGCCATGGTCCTTCAACGATCAAATCTAGTTCTTTACACAAAAGGACCCAACTGTACTCACCATAACTCCTGTAGGAGTGGCCAGCTCCAGGCTGTCTACATACCATTTTCTTTACGTGGCAAGCCTGTGGACACTTTGTGATGATGGTTCCTGTCTATCTGGACTCCATCTGGGATGCTCTCCTTTCCCATCAAACCTCTTGAGGTCATCTAACCCTCTGAATCCTTTTCTCTACTAAATGCTCCCTGGTCTTAGCTATCCTGTGCATTGGGCTCCTGTGGAACACTGTTCTGTTTTACTTAAAGATAGGTATACCGTCCAAAAGACATGTTCTGGTGCTATAAAAGGAGTTGAAGAAGACAGAGCCACAGTCCTGGCAGTCTTTTCCATTGATGCTTACAAATGTGAGTGTGGCACAGCGGTGCTGAGATGTTCAAGCCAAGTGCTATATAAGACTTGCCCAACTTGTCAGGTGTGGAATCATGATATTCTATCACACCATCCTCACCCTCAACTTATTCCTGCCATATTCTGTGCTGATTTCATTTCTGTTGCTGTGATAAAAATACACTGTTCAGAAACAACATAAGGATGGAAGGGGTGTAGCTGGCTTAGAACTGCAGGCTATGGTCCATTACTGTGGGTAAGTCACAGAGGCAGAAACTTGAGACATCTGGTCATGCAACGCCCATAGTCAAGAGCAGAAAGAAATGAAGCCCTAGGCTACCTGCTTGTTTGTGCTTAGTTTTCTTTACTCATATATAGTTCAGGGCCCAGCCTATGGCACAATGCCACCCACAATGGGCTGGGTTCTCTTACATCAATGAACAATCAAGACCATCCCCACAGACATGCCCACAGGCCAACCTGCTCTGGATAATCTCTCAGTTGAGACTCTTGCCAGGTGTTTCTAGGTTGTATCAAGTTGACAGTTAAACCTGTTCAGAACACCTCCTAACGCTCTAGAGAACCTTGTCTGCTGGATCATTCTTTCCATCCTGTCTAGACCTCATCTACCATTCCCATGGTCACCACCCAACTTATCTACTTTGGAGATTGCTATTACTAATTCAAACAGCTTCTCCTGAAGCTATAGAGAAATTTCCTTACTGTTAGCCAGCTTTGCTAGGTATCCCATTGGGATAGTTCTTCTTTACCAGCTACTCCCGTCAACTGAATCCCTAAACTATTCCAGTCCATCCACAGATCTTTCCATGTTTACCTCCTTCATTTCTTTAGAGTCTGCCTTTAATCCTTCAATATCTTAAATTCCATTCCCTCTAATCCGCTCCAAACCCCTGAAGAACAAACCGGGCATCTACATTTCCGCATAGACAGCTGAGGGTGGTTGGAGCAAATATGCCAGGGGAAGACTGGAATCAAACTGATTCATAATTAGAATCTGGTTCAAAAGTCCAGATCTTCAGCCCCTGTGATAGCTATCTCAAACTGATATTTACTCTTCCAGCATTGAACTTTTTTGTTTTAGTGCCTGACCTTTCTCTTCACTAAGAAGTAGAAAGCAGGACTCTCTCTTCTGCTGGTGTCTCTGAGGTGTTCAGATCTTTACAGCTCGGAGGCTCGGTCCATGGAGATTCCCAGGGACCTTACTCAGTAGCCAGCCTAGCTCTCATTTCCAAACACAGCTGTTGCAATGAGAGTGTGCCCTTCCCTAGGTTACTCCATATTGTATAAAACAGTGTTTTTTTGGGTTGTGCCTTCTCCTGACAGATTCCATTTTACAAGTAGCTTTGACTATATGTTGAGGATGGAGGATGACTATGCACCTGAGTGGACACATGAACAGCACCACCAACTGGCATCAGTCATGCATTACAGACTGGTAAATGCCTGATTCCTTGGAGCAGAAGGGATGCCACTATAAGAATTAACCAGGTGAATAGGGACTGTAGGGGAGCATGGGTGTACTATAGTCATATCAGGAAAACAAGACCCCAGAACTTATTAGACACAGCTGACTGAAAACGAGAGTATATATAACTCCCTTACTTGGAACCTGTAAAGAGAAAGATACCCAGCAATGAGATGGTGACAGACCCCACTAACCTGTCATCTGACCACTGGCTCTGTGTGTGTGTGTGTGTGTGTGTGTGTGTGTGAAGGACCAACAAGCAGAGAACTCCCAACTGTCCCAGGGGCTTCAGCTCAGCTCAGCCTATGCTGTTGATATGGCCTTCTCCCTGTTCACCTGTCTTGACCTGCTGTCCATCTGTCTGCCTGCTCATTCGTCTGGACTCCATCCTGCCCTTTACTTCATCTTACACCTCCAGTTCACTGCTGATCTTGTAGTCTAAGACAGCAGCCACAGGGCCTCTCCAGAGATTCCCCAGCTGGTTGGTTATCTCACATTCCCCAGTCCCTCTTGAAACCCTTTCAAATCTGGTTTCAGCTTTGGTTTCTCAGGTCTCTTAGAATCTTCTTGTCTCTTTAACCCTTTGTAGCCATTCTGTAACCTACACATATATAATTAGATAGATCTACTGTGTAATATGTAAAAGTATCATCTGAGAGTTAATATTCATTAATTAGAATAAAAGATCCTGTGTTCACCTCAGCCAGGGGTATTATGGGAAGCAGAAATATCTGGGAAATTGCTGCTGTTGAAACTGCCATACCTTATCAATTTTTGTTAATCAATAAGTTCCAACCTTGTAGAAAGACACAAACATGTTTGTCTATGTTTCTGACATAATGCACTCCCAATAGTCAACTATGATCAGTCTTCTCTCTGTCCCAGGACTCTCCCCTCCTACTGAGCCTCCATAGGAGACCAGACATGTCCCAGCTCTGTGAGTCAGGCACAGAGTCTGGAGGCAGGTCAACCATGGACAGGGGCTGATCAAAAGCTGCTTTTCTGTTTCAGCTGGTATCTTTGAGGTGTCCAGATCTTTACAGCTCAAAGGCTCGTCCCAGGGAGCTTACTCAGCAGCTAGTCTCATGAACTGACTTTCTGAGAAAATGCTAGAACTTCATGTGTTAAAGGATATAAACAAAATATAGCAGCAGAGTGGGGCGGGGGAGGAGGGTGGGGAAGCCGGGTGCTCTGAGTCCCAGAGCCCGTTTTGCTCATCATCACACAGCACTATGGGAGTGTGGGGCAAGCACAAATTCAATGATGCACACAGATGCTAGAAGAGGAGAGATTTAGACACTGGCGGTCAAGCTTATCAGTTTCCAAATACACTACACATCCCAGGGAGACTATGAACTACAAAGTTGTCATTCCGTTCCTGCTCTGGGCTACATCCTCCTTGGCATGTATCAGCTCTGTTTCGTTCTTTACAATCTCACATTCATTTATTGGTCTCTAGGAGGCTTTCTTCAAACCCTTCCCTTGGTGTCTTGGTGTCCCCATAGTCAATGGAGAAGTTGATCAGGGCATGTGTTAGCACATAAGGAGACCAACAGTCATGTACCCTTTCATCTCCTTCATTATCTGAGTCATTCGAAACCCATTCAATTCACCATCAGATTTCCAGCACACAGTGAAATTCCCAAGATCCAGAACATGATTACACAAAGGATGAACTCGGGACCAGCTTAGGAATTTAAAGAGATGGCTGGAGCACGTGAGGAGCTGCATCTTTCATTCTGACAGCCTCCTTTGTGCTCCCACATCGTGCATCCTCTTTATGATGGCCCTTAGAGACCCTCAGCCACATCTCACCCCAGCAGTCTCTTTACTGTCATCAGTACCCTGTGCATATCTGTCCATCACTGCTGGTTGTACCTGGTGGGAGGAAGGGGCAGTGTCATCAGATGGTCCCTGTGAGTGCACTAGCCACTCACCTGGCTTGCTGGCAGACACAGCAGACCCACGTCTTCTCGTGCTTCTGGTAGGAGCAGCAGTTCTTGCAGACGTTGAACTTGCAGTCCCCGCAGCGGCGTTTGGTGTTGACCAGGAAGGTGAAGGGCGAGCAGCAGCGCATGCAGCAGTGCTCCACGAACTTCTGGTGCTTTGAGAGGATGCTGCACTTGCTGCCCTCTTCATCCAGCCTCTGCTTCATCTCACTGGGAAACCAGAAAAGGGGGAGAGGGTGAGGAGAAGAGAAGCAGCACACCACGTCAGGGGGCCGTCTACCCAGAGCACCCAGCTCAGGCCCTGCATGGGCCCAGCCCTTGTAGAATCTTCCCATAGAACAAAAATAAACAAGGGAGATGTGTGTGTGTGTGTGTGTGTGTGTGTGTGTGTGTGTGTATTGTATGTGTTTACATGTGCATATTGAGAACACTGGGTATCTGTTCTCCCCATGACTTAGGGACCATCTCAGAAGAGGAGCCAGAAAGATTGTTAGAGCCAGAGGTCAAGGGTGGACCAGAGTATCTTTTGGACAAGGCAGGACCACTGCACCCATGAACTCACAGCAGCTATGGCCGCCTGCACATGATCAAGCCGGGCAACATTCCAGCATGGGAAGGGGAAGCTCCCGGCCCTGGGGAGCCATGGATAGTTAATGGCATCTCGGGGGAGGGAGAGGTGGTTTCCTTTATGGGTGTGGCCCCTGGTATGTTGACTATGCTCCAGTGAAAGGCCCCACATCCACAAGTATATGGACAGCACAAATTGGAGTCTATGGGCTATTAAATTTTTTGTAAAAGGAGGGCATGAAGTTGGTGGGGGGTAAGCAGGGGTGGATCTGGGAGAATTAAGGGGAGGAGGGGGAAGTGAACATGATTAAATCCATTGAATGAAATTCTCAAAGAATTAATTCAAACATTTTAATGGGGATCTTCCTCTGTCACTTCTTTCCAATCATTTTTTTGAGACAGGGTCTCTTCCTGAACCTGGAGTGCATCTGCTGGCTGGCCAGTTAGTGGGGGGGGGGGGGGGAGAATCCTTCTTTCTTCCTCCTTTCTCAACCCCCACCCCAGCACTGGAATTACAGATGCCCACAATCACAATCAGCTTTTACAAGGGTTCTGGGGATTGAACTCAGGTCCTCATGCTTATACAGCAAGCACTTTCCCCACTGAGCCATCTCACCAGCCCTCAGACAGACCAATCTTTGACCTAATGTCCACAGAGGAACTGTAACAGTGGGTTAATTTTGAGTACCCCTAGATACCTTGTGTACCATGAGAAAGCATGAAAACTTCAATCCTTTTTATTTCAGACCCAAATGGAGATATAAATTACCATTAAGAATTAGCAGTCTAGTGAAATAAAATCTTTTACTTCGTTAATGCCTTTTCAGAAGTACAGGAGATTACTTATGATAAAACATTGATCCTCACTACAGCCCTGCTGGGAATCTGATGCAGTTCTGGCCCACTTCACACCCCTGGAAACCAGTGCAGTCAGAGGTTTTAAAAGCTTTCAAATCAACGGAAGTCAATAAGGACCCCTGGGCAACCAGCAGGGGTGACTGAGGCACTGGTGACTCGGATTTGGATGACAAAATGATCCTTTTCTTCCAAAGAGCTCCTGGTCACAGGGGCACACAGCCAGCCAGGGTAATGTGAAATCCAACAATGCACAAACCCCTGTGAGCTCAGAGAACAGGAAAAGAAGAACCCTAAGAAGGAAGAACGAGCTCCAGCCAAGGCCAACACTGACAGTCGCCTTGAGATTCTGAACAAGTTGGGCTGTTTCCCCTGACACAAAACTGGAGGCTGATAAACAGGAATACAAGGGCTATTTTTTCTATTACTATTATGATTTTACTGCTATTTTACTACTGTATTATATGTTTTGTTTCATGTTGAAGCTATGATATAACTAGGTAATAGGAATTTCTCAGGTCTATTATAACATTGCAAGACTACCACGTACTTGTGGCCCACCATTAAGCAAAACATATAGTACAGGACTGTAGTAAATTCTCTTTTAAAGTTTATCTTAATAGATTTTGTTTATTTTTTTCATTTATTTTTTAATTTTTAAAAAGTATTTTATTTTTATTTTATGTATATGAGTCTGTTGCCTGCATGTGACTGCACCCGTGTCATGCAATGCTGTGGAGGTCAGAAGAGGGTGTCAGATTCCCCTGGAACTGGAGTTAAGGACGGTTTTTAGCTGCCATGTGGGTGCTGGGAATCAAACCCTGGTCCTCTGCAAGAGGACCAGCTCACCCCCACAACATATCTTCCATCTTCTTCCCAACTTCATGTCTTCCTTTTTATAACCCACTAAGCCCAAGTAGTGCTGCCTGTACATATGCATGTGCCTGTGGTCATCCACTGAGGCATGGGCAACCTACCAATGGTCATCCCCCTCAAAGAAAAGTGACTCTCACTCCCTCAGCAGCCATCAACAGTCATTAGGTCCTCAGTTAGGGGTGGGACATTTGGAGACCCTCCTCTCCATGCTGGAATTTTTAACTCTCCTGATCTTGTGGAGGTCTTGTGGGGTTGACCACAGCTGCGATGCATTTACATGTGTAGCAGCCATGTCTTGTCCAGAGGCCAGCCTTTCCCAGCTCTCCTCCCCATCCTCCAGCTCTTACATTCTTTCCACCTCCTCTTCCCCGTCTTCCACAATGGTCCCTGAGCCTTTTTGCTACCAAGCATCCCATGTATGCATACACCCTATTTTGTTTATTCACTCATCAGATTGACATCATGTTCAGTTTGGGGTTATTATGATTAATCTTGCCATAGATATTCATATACAAGTTTCTGCATGTACACAGATCTCAATTCTACTAAGGGACCTGCTGGATCATATTATTGGTGACACTAACTGGAAAACACATTTTCCAAATGCCTCCATCATTCCCACCAGTACTTTTCGAAGACTAATTTTTCCACATCCTCACCAACTCTCTCGCCTGTTTTTCGTTATAGTGATCTTGGAGTGATGTGGTATCTTACCTGTGCTTTTGATTTGCATTTTTCTAATGACTAATGATAATGATTTATTTCTCTAATCAACAAATGTTATTGAACATCTTTTCGTGGGCTTATTGGCCACCTGCACAACTTCTTTGGAAGAAAGTTCGCTAAAATCTTTTGCCTGTTTCGGACTTAGATCACTTCTCTTTTATTTTTTGTAATATTGCAAGCTATCTTTGTGTATTATGGACACAAGTTCCATATCAGATATATTGGTTGAAGATATTTTCTCTTTCTTACATCAAACCTTATGTTTTATTAGCATATTTTGGTAATGAAGGGAATCTGAATCCAGTACCGGAAGGGGAGACTGCCTCAAACCAGCTAATAATTCTATGGGGCAAAATAGAGATGTATGTGTGCACCAGGCTGAATAGAATATTTACAGAGATGTCTGCTCAAAGAAGGTAGGTGCTCTTCAGTTCCTTAGATTTGGAGCAGGCTTCCACCTAAGTCACCAACAACTGCAAGCTTAGCAAATACTGTAAAAGCTTCAAGTTGACTAGTTTATATTGAATTTCAGAAACACTAAATTAAATGGGATGAAGCATGCAAGAAAGAAAGCCTTGGGGATCAAAACAGCTCTGTGAATTAAACTGCATACCACTTGAGTGTAAGGAGTCTGTTTTCCTGAGACACAGAATGCAAATTCCAGTGGTGTTTGAAAATTCACTGGAACTCTGATAATACCCTCTACCAAGCCCTTCAGAGTATATTCCAAGCACATGCGGGGCTTTCAGAGTATATTCCAAGCACCAACTCGGTGGTGGGATGGAATGCCATTCTTGTGTGTATTCGACTTCATTGCCTTCTAGTGTCTCTGGGAAACAGATGTCAGATAGAATGGCACTGGGTAATCTCTAGCGGCTGCTACGATTTGAGCATGTCTCCAAAAGTTCACCTGTTGAGAACATAATGCTTGTTGCAGCAGTGTTGATAGGTAGGAGCTTTAAGAGGTGTTTAGATCATGAAGGCTCTGTCCCCAAGAATCCATCAAAGCTGTTATCGCAGGAACAGGTAGGCTATAACAAGGGTAGATATCTGACAAAGGGATTTCTGACACCCTCACATACGCTCTCTTCTCCTCCCACCTTCTCTCAAGGGCCAATGTAGCAAGAAAGTCCTTGTCAGATGTGGAGCCCTTGACTGTGGACTTCCCAGGCTCTAGAACTGCAAAAATCAAGTCCTTATTTCTAAAAAATTATCCAATTCCAGTTACTTTATCATAATATCACCAAATGGACTGAGGCAATAGCTAATTACAGAATCAACCAGGAACTAGGCAAATAAAGTTACAATCTTTGAAATGTCCTGAGAAGGACCAAGCCCTCAAATGGTCTGCACTGGGAAAGAGGAATGGGTTCAAGGTCAGACATTAGCATGTACTGCTAGGCTCAGACACTTACCCCAAAGTTTCCAACCTTTTGGGGCCTCTGTATTTTTGACTGGCACTTAAAATCCCTATATCACAGTGTTGACAGAGGCAGTGAATGAACAAAGCAACATGGGAAAATACTATTTATTTGACTCAGCAAAATCTCCAGTGGGAGTGAAATAGTGTCTTCTAGGCATGACAGAACCACTGCGCTCATGAGCTCACAGTCTGCACAAGATCAAGCCAAGGCCACATTCTTACACGGAGGGGGAAGGGGTTCCTGAGCTCCTGCCCCTAACTGTGGAGCCATGGACAGTTGATGGCTTTTGGGGGAGAGTCAGTTTTATTTGACGGTGTGGCCCCTGGTGGGTGGACCACACTTCAGTGGATGGCCCCACATCCAGGAGTGTATGGACAGCACAAATTAGAGTTGATTAGCTATTAAATTTTTTTAAAAATTTAAAAGAAGACATGAAATTGGGGATAGCTAAGGAGACAGAGGTGGATCTGGGGGAGAGTTATGGGGAGGAGTTGGGGGTGAATATGATCAAAGTACATTGTATGAAATTCTCAAAGTATTAATAAAAATATTTTTAAAATTCCAGTGACCTGAGTATCTGACATTTGCTCACACTTGTTTTTATTGAGGTTTCTGTGATATAGGTGGGTGTAAACACTATGTGTTGCTTGTGCTCAGGGTAACAGTGGATATGAGGGAGCACCTCATTGTGGATTTTAGTTGTATTTGCTTAATAAGCAAAGAAACAGACTGTGGTCATTCGTAATGTCTTCTGACATGGCC